TGGTGGTGTTTTCTGGTCTCGGCTCAGGCAAGCGTTCCTGGTGTTGATTATTACCTTGTCATGTTTCGCCCTGTTCGGTTGGCTTCTAAGCCGTATTTTTTCGGCCAACGAACAATATTTTTCTCTCACAATAAATCAGCCAACAATACTTTCAGCCATGGCTTATCAGCCAAACGAACATGACATTTGATGGTAACCCCAGCCGTTTGTTACGTTTTGTTTGTAAGACTTGTTGCTTGTGTTCAAGGTCATTGCAAAATCAATGCAATGCCGATCCCACTTCAGTTTGGAACTGAGGAACTGCTGTGAAGCTAATAATAAAGTTTCGCTGGATCTTTAAGCATGTTTAGAAAATTGAGTAAATTGCATGCCTACATGGAAGCAAAACCCTAAAAGGGAAAATCCAGTGAGCTGAGTCTGAGGCCTTGCACGCATGCTGGCGGCCTTGCACGCGGACACTGGACAGTGGACACTCCCCCTCACGAGGCGCAACACTTCCAATGCCAGTAAACTCCCAAGAGCAATGGATGCAAAGTACTTAGGTTTTACAACAAATTTTAGAGAAATACTGTGGTTTTACAAAATACTTAGGTTTTCAAAGGCTACTTGGTGTTTGGATACAACAAATTTTGTAGCTCTAAAACAAGGGTTTTGTTAAAATCTTTTTCTAAACCACATAGGTTTTTGCCTTTTTAGCTTACATAAAATCATAGTTGATACAACAATTTTTGAAAACTGGGTCACCCGAACAGGTCCGTTGCTTTATAAAAGCAGGGTTACGTTCTAAAAAATATATATAAGATGATTATATTAGAGGGTGTACGGGAGCCCGTAGGGATGAACTAGACATTTAGTAGGCAATAATAGAAATAAACAAAAGAGATGGAGAAGATAATGGGAAGCTAATTCTTAATTATACAATATGATTTTAAAGATTAATATGGAGAGGACAAAAAAAGACAAATAGAAAGTGAGAAACCATGAAACGTGATCAAAACCCCTCCACGTTGAGACTTTGGGTTTCGGACTGACTACACATCTCTGGAAGATTTTTTTGTTTGTTGTCTTCCACTTTTTCAGCCAATTAAAACTTGCCACGTAACATGTCACACATAAAAAACAAAACAACAAAAATACACCACATATATGTGCCACAACAGCTTTTGGAAGATTTTGATGTTTGTTATCTTCCACTTTCAGATAAGAAAAATGTGCCACGACAATAAATAGAAAAACAAAAATACAGCACACATATACGGCACACAGATATGGCACAGCTACATCACACAGATACATCAAATGTGCCACGACAATAGATAAAAAAAAGCAAAAATGCAGCACACATATACGGCACAGCTACAGATACGGCACACGGATACGGCACAGCGACAGCACAGATACAGCACACAACACACAGAGAAAATCAAAATCTGGAATGAAGAAATAAAAAAAATGTACAGCACGTACGCAGATGTTCATCAAACAAGCCGAACAGTGTTTTTCTCTCACAACAAATCAGCCGGAACAGTATTTTTCAGCCAAGTTTCAGACCAGCGAACGAGGCCAAAATATCAAAACAGAAATGAAAAAAAGGGAACAAACCAATAGAAACAACTCAGAAAGTACAACATATATATATAATACTTCACGGACAAGAATGAAACGGAAAGCTCCGCAAAACAAACCAAATCTCGCGTTTCCTTGGATGGCGGCGGCAGTGACGGCGTAGAAGACTGGGTACAAAGATGAAGACCAAAGGAAGAGCAAGACCAAACATCAAAGCAAGTCCAACATCAGAAAAAGAAAATCAGCAGGATGCACCGGAGGTAACCCAGTCAACCCAAAAGGACCTTCATCTTCAAAAAAAAATTATGCGGAAATTTGCATCTGCTTCTACTACAAACCAATTTACATGCAATAGAATTAGAAGAAGCCTGCAACGTTTTCTCTAAAATGTGCATAAGGATCCAATCAATCTATCGAAATATGCATCTCCTTGTGTGATCTGCAAGTCTGCAAAAAGCCAATGTGGGAACTAGTAGCAGAAAAGAGAATTTTGATTTACCTGCTTTTTCCTGCTCTGTTCTTGCCTTCTTTTTTAAGGTAAATCAATCTATTGCTGCTTTACAAAACATACACCTACAGTATACTATGCATGTTGACAATGTGCCTAATCTTGCTACATGATCTACATCGACAACCTCATTACCAAATCTCTGCCATCTCCAAAGAACCGAACCAACATACAGACGTAACAGTTCACCTAAAACTCTGCTTCTCCAGACCTGAACCAATGACACCTGCATTCATTGTTTGTAATATATGAAATAGGCATTTGAGAAAGTAAGAAGCAGCAGAACATAGCACATTCATTTCGGACTAGCGCAATAGCTAATTTTTTTCTTTTTCATTATATAAATTCAAAACCACATATCATTCCATGCTCATGTACCGGAAAAGTTAGAAAGCTGCTCCTTGGTCAAATCACCAGTTATGGTAGAGATGATGAAAGCATTGTTAAGCTCCTGTAGCTTTGGAACACAAGCTTCAGCACGGTTTTGCCCAACATCCTTCTCTGAGAGGAAGAAGTTGCTTGACAAGTCCCATAGCTCGACTTTGCCATCATCATGCAAAGATTACAGACTTAACACCAGCAACGATAAAAGGTTTTTTGTTGTAGAAATTGAGTGCTCATAAGCAAATCATGTATAAAAAAAAAAAAGAACAAAAGATAAAATCTGAATTCTCATAAGCAATTTAAAATTGACAAGCATGATATACTGAACGCTAAACATCGAAACAGTGAAAAAGAACTGACACACTAGGGCAAACATGTTTTGCTTTTAGAGAGCAAACAGTGACTAAAAGCATTACATCATAAAATCTAATTTTAGAGAGCAAACAGTGCTTAGCTACCATTGGACGATAAAACTTGGTGAATCCTTTGGCAAGTGACACAGGAGATCTAAACTGACCAGCAACCAGGATACATACAAGACTGACTGACGGTATAGTAGCAGCAGCAGGTGCACACGCAGGCAAGCTCAAGGGTGCTGAATCAGGATGCTTCAACTAGCCTACCACAATATCACTCCCTTTTCAGTTTTCAGTCTACTTCAGGCACACTAGACTTTATATTTACCATTTGCCACCACCAAACCCAACAAAAGGTTCCTCTTCCTGCGCCTTTCGCGCGGGCGCATGAATACATTAAGGCTATATACTATTATAGTACAGACTACCAAAGCTGATGTAGTGAGCCAATGCTTCAAAACCAGATGAATAGTTTATGGTTCAGTATACATACATGATGAAAAGTGACTGAATAGTTTCCGGTTTGCAAAAAAATGGATGAATAGTATCAACAGAGAAGTAAAAATTGGTAGCTTCAAAAATTATGCTACTAAGACCCTACCCAAACACTACTGAAAAGTGGATTCTCATAGCATTTCAAATCTAACATCCCATTTCCCATCCATATGACCATTCAACGTTCAACTGTTTTATCTAAGCTGCAAATAAGCCACCTGCAGTCAAATAACAATAGTTTTGAAAGATAACGACAAGACACAAAAATAACCTCTTCTCTCTCTCTCTCTCTCATGTTTAGGTTTAGCCCCAAATCAGTAACATCAGACCAAAATGTGCTATTTTTTAGAGTATACTGCTTCCAAGTATTTCAGCAAGATAGATAGCCACAACAAAATGGAATGCTTTGCTACAACAACAAACTAGGATGCACCTTCCTCTTATCCACTATTCCTACAAGCAATGCAGGCGAGACGGAAACAGAAGAGAGAGCAGGGAGCCAGGAGTGGAACTCCCACCATGGTCATTCCATTTTCATGGCCAGGCGGCAAGCAACAAAGCAAATTCTGAATGTGTTTTATGGAGTAACAATCAAATCAATCCAAAGAGGAGGACATGCGGGAACCAACCAATCAAGCAATGGAAAGAATAAGAGTATACTCCTATGTTGATAAGTACTGTATTAAGAGGACATGCCGGGCAGGGCTGGAATCCATCTCCCTCCCCTTAACTTTACAACAAATTCCATAGCTCTATTACTTGTAAACGGCACGGCAGCAGCGGTAGCGGCAGTGGGCAGTCGGGCGGATCCGGCGCCTCCGTAGAGCGCGCGGCAGTGGGACTCGGCGGAGGCGGATGCCCCCAGGTCCAGGGACTCCTCACCCTCGGCGAGGCACTCGGCCACCGTGCCGCGGCACTCCCTCCAGGTCCAGGTCCAGCCAAACTTGCCGACGAGCTTGCCCCGACCAAGCCCGCAACCAAACGCCGCCACTGACGCAACCGCAGAACATATTCGAAATTTCGAACAAACCAAAAGAGAATAGAACGGCACCGTGGGGGATGCCGCTGCCGACGCCGGATCCGACAAAGCCGCCGCCGCCTCCTCCTCCAACAACACAGCACCGCCTCCTCCTCAGATAACGCCGCCGCAGCCGCTACCTCGGTCAACGCTGTCGCCGGTGCCTCGGGAAAAACGCCGGCTCCGCCGCCTGAGACAACGCCGCCGTCGCCGACTACGACAACGCATCGACCGCCGCCGCCTGAGACAACGCCGCAGCCGCGGCCTCAAACAACGCCACGGCCAACAACGAGAACACGCGGCCACCGCCCGCTGAAGACAATGCCGCGGCCAAAATGAGAGCAACGATCCACAAAAACAGAAAACGGTGAGAATGTAGAAAGACACAGCACGAATCTCGACATACATCTGGACCATAGAAAAGTGGAAGAAAACAACACAAAAAAATATGCTAGCAGATATTTAGAAATTCCGTTTCACGAAACGTGGTCAAAACCCTCCACGACGAGACTTTGGGCCGTGCCGGCACGTAGCTCAAGAGGAGCCCAGGAGGAACCGAGCCAGTTCGAACCGGATTGCAGCTTACTGGTTGGGAATCGACGCTAGAGGGCCACCACCGCCTCGACGGCGACGGCAGCAACGGCCACCATTCCCTTCCAATCTCCCGCACACCATGGCGTCGTGCGTGGCCGCGATGGCGCTCGCCGGCGCCCGACCTGCGTCTCACGCCCCTGGCCCCGTGGCGGCCAGCTACAGTGGCCACGCGCAGCTTAGCTTCCATCGCCGCGGCGCTCGCGCTCGGGTCATCCGCGCCTCCCACAGCCGCCCACACCATCCCTCTTTTGCGCGTGAGGTGGGCATGTCACCTAGCTCCCGAGTTTGCAGCGTTTATTGCCTTACTGGCACGGTGGGTTTCATGTAGGACGAGGGGGTTCTGGAGTGGCTGACGGGCGCGGCCGCGGCGCTCGCCATCGTAGCCCAGATTTCCGTGTCGCTGCCGGCGAACGCGGTGCTTTACTCGCCTGACACGAAGGTGCCGAGGACCGGGGAGCTGGCCCTGAGGAGGGCGATCCCCGCTAACCCGAACATGAAGGCTATACAGGTTTACCTGCTCCTCAGGATTTGCATGTAGGTTTGCTTATTCGATTCTTCCGTCTGAGCGTTGCCTTACATTGCTGCATTTGGCAGGAATCGCTGGAGGATATTTCCTACTTGTTGAGGATACCGCAGAGGAAGCCATACGGTTCCATGGAGGGCGATGTGAAGAAGTCCATCAAAGTAAATTGTCTGTCTCCATGGCATGTTATTTTTTCTGGTTGCTCTTCAGAGTTCAGAGTAACTAATTCCTGGAGCTATCCAGACTGATGGCACATGCTTGATCTGGGCATTGTCCTTTTGCAGTGCACTTGCCAGTTCCACTTGATAGGATTGCACTTCATACATATACCACTCTGTGCTCTTGTGCAGATAGCAATGGACAACAAGGAGGCGATCCTGGGAAGCATTCCTGCAGAGCATAAGGAGGAGGGTGCCAAGCTATATACTTCACTACTCGAAGAGAAGGTAACTAAAAAATGCTAATGGTGCAAAATGTAGTTCACCGAACAAACATGAACCCATTTTTTTACCTGTATTTAGCCATGATCTTTATTCTTGTTGCATCATAGCTGAGCTATTTCACATCATCTGCAGGGTGGTTTTCAGACTCTCTTGAAATATATTAAGGAGAATGACCCTGACAAACTTTCTATAGCACTTGCTTCGTCACTTGATATTGTTGCTGAATTGGAGCTGTTACAGGTACCTCAGTGAACCCATAGACTGTTTGATAGAATTTAGACAATGCTTAGAACAAGGAATTCGGTTCCAGTGACCATTCTGATAACTTGAAACGTTATTTCCCCCCTTTGAATAGGCTCCTGGTCTGTCCTTTCTCCTGCCCCAACAGTACTTAGAATATCCAAGGTGACACTTGATTTTCTCTTAAGCTCTAAATTCTATTTCTGTCATGCTTGCAATTTTTTTCATAATTGTTTTTCTCGTTCCAACTAAACTAGCACAGGTTCTGGATCATAACTTAGCTGAATGTAGTTGTTATGGAATTCGATCATGCAGGACATAGTTATATACATATGTTCAGTGCAGGGGTTAAGCATGAGACTACCAACTGCTTGAGCTGCTTGATGTTAGTGATAAGGGATCAAGGCTGCCCTATAGAAATTTAATTTGAAATTCACATGTGCATTGCAAAACCTCATCTAATTCTATATTGCAGTGCTCAATGATAATAACAACATCAATTTACCACTATTTTCACACTGCTCTGATATCAAGTCTGCTAGTGCAAAACACTTGCTAATTATTTTTTAACCATGTCCATTGAGCTTAGATTGTCTGTGAATTGCTAAAATTTTTGTTGCCGTCATATAGGATTTGAATGGTTGAAGTTCAGTTAGTGGTTGGTAGAATGGGTGACAACATCGTTCCTTTTGAATTTCTCAGTATCAGTGTCAAATCCTTATCACAGTTAATTTTGAGTACTTTAAGAATAAACTGCACAACATGTTTCACAAAAAATGTAGATGTAGGATCCAATGTCAATTGAAATGTTCAGCTTCTGGGGGTGTTTGCGAAATTTGAGCATGCAGTTCTACAATGTCTGACAAACGATTTTTTATGAAATTTAGTTTAAACAGCTTGCTATTAATAGGCTAACAGGAAGAGGAGTTGTTGAATTCACAGTTGAAAAAGGTGATGGTTCAACATTCTTTCCAACTGGTGGCGGTGAACCGAAAAGTGTTGCTACGATTCAGGTAGATAACAGTAGCATCATAAAGTTGTAGTCCATGGAAAGCTATTAATCTGCAGTTTTAACTCGAGACATTTCTAGCATTTTTTTCCCCAAACCGTCTGTTCTGAGAATAATCTGTTGTACTTTTGTTAGTGCTGTAATGGATCTAATAGTTGTGCATAAACTTCACTCTTCTGATGCTAGTTAATTATAAGACCTATAGACATAGTATTTGCTGCTACGATTTGTCATGACATCTGGAGAATTATGATGGGTGCTGGTTGTTTACTAATGTAGGTCATTATTGATGGGTACTCTGCCCCACTGACTGCTGGAAACTTTGCAAAATTGGTAAGGTAGCTTGACTCTGACCCCATCTTATTGTTTGCTCCTGGTTGTTTTGGGGAAATTTCCAAATTGTAAACTTTTATTCTCACTCCTTTCTTGGAACAATAATGTACTTACTTTGACTTGACCACTATAAAACACAAAAGTACTAACTTTGTCAAGCAAAAATGATATTAGCAGATGAAGATCTCTTCAGTAACTTTTAGTAGCAAATGTTTAGAAAAAAAAAACAAAAGACTGTATTAAAGACGATGTCCAAAACAGCAGGTAAAAGAATGGCAGGTGTGAACAAAAAAATCTCTTTATTGAAGAGGGATTTTCCAGAATCTTACTGTAACGTATTTACAATTCTTGAAGTTTTACTTTACGAGTTCTTTGTTCTTATTACCAGTTCTCATTCAATGTAGCAACCTTCCTTCAGGTCTTGGATGGGGCATATGACGGGGTAACACTTAAATGTGCAAGCCAGGCAATTATTGCTGATAATGAGACTGGAAAAAACGGGTATACTGTTCCATTAGAGGTCAAGCCAGCAGGACAATTCGAACCATTGTACAGAACTCCACTAAGCATTCAGGTCAGTCACTCTCCTAGACTGGTTTAGTGGCGATGGAAGTTTAAGCATATATCTCTGTTCTTTAGGTGAAGGTCTCCTCAGCTGTAATTCATTTCTTTTGCTTCATCCATTCTAGGATGGAGAATTGCCAGTCCTGCCGATGTCGGTGTATGGTGCTGTTGCCATGGCACATAGTGTGGATTCAGATGAATACTCCTCACCAACACAGTTCTTTTTCTATCTTTATGACAAGAGAAACGTGGGTAACAAAATGGCTAGAATTACATATTTTTACAATCCAATTTAAAGATCAAATTTGAGTGTACTTTGTTGAATAGTGTACCTACTTTAAACCATATTTGCTTTTCTTTAAACATAAAGCTGAATATAAGTATTCAGATAACAGACCAGACTCTGCCAGGTCATACAAAAGGTTTGAATGCCCAATCTAGTAATATAATAAGTAACAAGTCGCTTCTCCAGCCTGTAATAATCTGTAGAAGCATGGATTGTGTATAGATATGTGAGTTAATTTGTTTCTCTTTCTTTTCTGTAGTCTGGCTTAGGAGGAATATCGTTTGATGAGGGACAATTTTCAGTTTTCGGGTAAGTCGTGACTGATTTCATTATGTGAACATTGAGTAGCAAAATTGATCTATTCCATTGTGAATAAGGACGCTGTAAGAAATTTTATGCTTATATCCAAACAATTGCAGGTATACCACGGATGGAAGAGATGTTCTGTCCCAGATTAAGACCGGAGATAAAATTCGTTCTGCCAAGCTTGTACAGGGCAGAGAACGCCTTGTGCTGCCATCAACAGCCCCCGAAGAGAGCTGATATTATCGACCCCAAGCATTTGCAGCATTCTTTTACACTGATCAGGCAACCAACATTTTGTATATCCAAGCCACTAAACCTGACCAGACAGTTTATAGTCAAATATGGAGTATATATAGCATATATAAGAATCGTTGTACATGAAACCATTTTTCTTGTGTAATAGTCGATACATCGGAATCTGAACAGCCTGGAATGCTTATTCGACAGGTATGTCACGGTGCCAGGGAGTTGCCGGCGGTGTGCATCCCTCGTTGAGCCAGGCCAGGATGTCGCCACGGACACGCTCGATGTTCTCATCCGGTTCCCCAAATAGCAAGGAGTGGAGCATCCCGTCGTATATCTTGATACTCTTGTCCTTGCTGGAGGCGGCGGCGTACAGGGCGCGGCTGACTTCCGGGTCGGTAACCTCGTCGGCACTGCCGTGCACGACAAGGAACGGGATGCTGACCTCGCCGAGGCGCTTGGCCAGCTCGTCGGTGGCACGCAACAGCTCGACGACGGTGCCGAGCCTGGGGCGGCCGTTGTAGCGCACAGGGTTGCGCGCTGCAATGATGCGCTTGGCGGGCACCTTGACGGACTTCTCGATGAGGTCGGCGGTGGGCACGATGGCGGCCGTCGGCGCGAACCATGCGACGAAGGTGAGGATCTCCGGCAGCGACCACGGCGGGCGGATCCGGTCGGAGATCCTGCACATGGGCGCGACGCCGCCCCCGCCCACTCCTCCGGCCGCGTGGGGAGGTGGACGAGCAGGCAGATGTCGTTGCCGTAGCCATTTTTTCTTGAATACGCATGAGTGTGCGTACCTCTCGTGCGTATCATTGTAGCAGAACAAAGAGTTTATAATACGATATAAGAGTTTCGCTTCTAGCTGTTAGTTTTTGTGCACGCTATATTATGAAATAAAATGTCCTAGACCTGCGCCAACGCACGTAGTTGAATCCGGTGGTTGGCTTCAGCCTTATGATGTGCAGTAGGTCGTCGTCGGTCCATGTCGACTCTCGAAAACACCTTTCGTTCCGTTCCTTTCCTTCCATAGTTGCGTTCCGTTCCTCCCGGTCGTTGCCGTAGCCGTGGACCATGAAGACGAGCGCCCTGGGCCGCTCGGGTGCGCGGGGCCTCCACGAGCGCGTGAAGAGCCGCCGGGCGCCCGCGTCGGGCGTGGTGAAGTAGGAGGGCTCGCCCTGCGCGCCGTGCGCCGCGTAGAACCCCGCCTCCGTGGCCGGGTGCTCGCCCCAGAAGTGGACGGCCGGCGCCGGCGCGTCCCCGTCCGCCTGCATGGTGGGGTCAGAGTTTGGTCCCGGACGTTGGCGTGGGGGGGTTGGTGTGCGGTGTGTGTGGATGGGGAAGCAGGGAACTACTGGTGGTGGCCGGCGAGTGGGGGAGTCGCTGGTCGCTGCTATGCTGCCAGCTGCGTCGCGGCAGGGGAAGGGCCTCTTAAATGGAACAAATTTGGATGCGGGACGGGAAATCGCTCGATTGATTTGAAAGTGACTTAGAGATTTTGCATCAAGAAATGCCCGAAGGCGCTTTTTTAAAAACATTGAATCATCACGTAGTTTTATTTGAGGTAACCATCATAGTTATTTTGCCGTTTTTTAATCTTCTTTGATGTACAATTTTTTCAAGAAGAATTAAATATATGCTACAAGTTATAAACTTTAATCATCCTATTTAAATATTACATTGTCGGACCCCTGGCCAAAGGCCTATGAAATTCGAATACGCCCTACGTTTTGTCTGCACTGGTCTGAATCCAGTGGTCGGAAAAGCCTCGATGATGTGCAGAAGGTACGGTCGATGTCGACTCCCAGAAATCATCTTGGTTTTTCCTTATATAAAATTCCGTTCCTTTAATTGCCAAAAAAATATGATTTGATATGAAGAAGCGCCCTGGGCCGCTCGGGTTTTTTTTTTAAATGAAAGCCGCCGGGCGCCCGCGTCGGGCGTGGTGAAATAGAGGGCTCGCCCTCCGCGCCGTGCGCCGCGTAGAACTCCGCCTCCGTGGCCGGGTGCTCGCCCCAAAGTGGACGGCCGGCGCCGGCGCGTCCCCGTCCGCCTGCATGGTGGGGTCAGAGTTTGGTCCCGGACGTTGGCGCGCGCGGGGGGGTCGGTGTGCGGTGTGTGTAGATGGGGAAGCAGGGAACTACTGGTGGTGGACGGCGAGTGGGGGAGTCGCTGGTCGCTGCTATGCTGCCAGCTGCGTCGCGGCAGGGGAAGGGCAAGGGGGCGCTTGGAACTTTGGATGCGGGACGGGAAAAGTCTCTCGTTTGGGACTTTGGGGTAGGTGGAACGGCTCGTGCCGCGGGTCCACCCGCTCGTCCCTGCGCCGGTTATGCAAAATCCACACGGTATACTATTCGTTCATAGTTGGCACGGAACATTAGTAACTCGTGTACCGACATTAGGGCCAATATAAACCTTTTGAATTTTGATCTATGAAAAAAAATTGATTCTATGAATAGATAGAACAGATAGGAACCATGTCGCTCCATCGCCTGATTCTCAGTTTCTGCTTTGTTTTCTTTTGATGAAGGAGAACCTTGGCAGAATTTAGCAGACAACAAATTCCATTAAACGGAGCGTTTTCATATAGTGTGAAAATGGGTAGGTCCGAAGGTGACTGTAGCCGCAAATAAGAGCCCAATTAGCAATGGATGGCCGTATGAATAGATAATAGTGTAGCTACAAATAAGAGCCCAATTAGGAATTGAAGGACCTATCACCTATTCGTGGGCTGCAGCTGCACATGACACTAGTGCTGCTTATTGCTTAGGCCGCCTATCTCTCGGTTCAGTTTTCCTTACGCAGCACGCTATTACGGTGCATGTCGAAAAAATGAGCCCGCTGATTTGTTGTAAAAAGAGAAAAACATTGTTTGAAATAAAAAAAATAAGTTGAAAAGTATGAATTATAAGACAAACGAACATAGCCAAAAAGTTAACGAAATGACCAATTAGTACCATGTCCTCTAACACTAAAAAAACATAGTTGTTAAATTTAAAAAATAGAAAGATTTGAACCTGGTGTGGATAAGTTTCACTGCAATCGTAGCCATCATTGACACATGCATTAGTTGTCTGCCAGCCCAGGGCAGGTGCTACTGGTGCTGCAGCATCCCCTGAGCCCATGTATCTTTAAGCAATCCATCCATGTGTTTGCAACAAATCTAAGAACAACTATGGAATCAATTTTTTTTACTTCCTCTAATTCCTGAATACAACTTTTAGAGTTGCCTTAAGTCAATTTTTTTTAAATTTAACTATATTTTATTTTACTTTTAAAAAAGAATGTCAAAATTTATGACACTAAATTAGTATCATGAGATACACCACAATAATTTTTATAATATGATCATTTGGTGTCATATAGATATTTGTGTTCGTTTCTATAAATTCAGCAAAACATTAAAAAAGTTTTATTTAAGATAACCCTATAATTTAATTCATTTAGGAATTAGGAATGGAGGGAGTACATTTTAGCACCGACCTAGTTAGTAGTTAGGACATAGTTATTATTATCCATATGATCAAACATGTACTGTGCATGATCTCCATAGCCATGCTTTGGACGAAAATCTTAGCGTTGGTGGCAATTATTTCGGACGAACGGTATAGGACAGTCATGGCCGCAGTGGCGCACCCATCTTTTTTGCTCGCCCGACAGGTGGTCCGGTGGATCGGCAGGCACATCTACCTCTCGTATCTGATCCGATCCCCTCCGGCACTGGGGCCTAGTTCACAAAAAAGATGGGTGCGCCACTGATTAAAAGGACGGAGGTGAGTACAGGGCACGAACTTTGCCCCCAAATTAAGGTCACCAGAAGGCCAGAACAGGACGGTGGTGAGAGCACAGGGCACGTACTTTACAGTTACAGTGCTGCTTACCTGCTGAGCTTCATGCGTGCTGCTGTTACCCATCACCCTATTCGCTTCCTCGTATCTGGCTTATAAGTCATGGCTTATCAACCAACGAATAGTATTTTTTTTCTCACACCAAACCAACCAAGTACTTTCAGCCATAGTTTATAAGCCAAATCAATCCAAACGAACAGGGCGCGTAGTTTTGGTGCACCGCATCATGAACTGTTTCACGTAAAAGAAGCATGGCAATGCACAGTTGGACAGCGATAGATAATAATAACTACATCCAGCAAACTTTATTTGTAATAATAATAATAGTGACCGTGAAACAAGCTGCTAATAATAATAAGTACTCCCAAGTCCAGCTGGACCAAAGATCCTGATGCTTCCTACGCATCACGCGTGCACACTTCACTGGAGCACAAACTGCACAGAGACATGGGAACGGACCACACAAATACATGGGTGCATGCAGCAAGGCAAGCACGGATCACACAAATATATAGCAGAGTATTATTCAAAGGGCGGCGCGATCAAGACGACCGATCGAGCAAGAGCTAGCCACCTTCGGCGCGCGGGGGGTACGTGTTCAGGGAGTGGCCGCGCCTGGGAGGAAGGGGTTGGGGACCTCGAAGCCGGGGTTGGGCACCCAGGTGTCGTCGGCGCCGGGCATGAACTGCCCGTGGACGGCGGCGGGGATGCTGTGGTCCAGCCCGCCGATGTCCGGGATGTAGTGGCTGCCGATCTCGTAGCGCCCCAGCCCCGGGATCAGCACCGTCCCCTCCTGCAGCGTGTCCGGTCGCTTCACGTCCTCCGCCGCCGACACGGCGGACTGCTGCAGCGCGGGGACGGGGCGCGTCGCGGAGCACGCCACTGCCGCGGCCAGAACAACCATGAGGACGACCAGAGCTGACGATGACGACCTGGCCATGCCGACGATCTGCTGGCTGCTGCTGCTAGTGCTAGCTACCTGATCGCGACTATCGCTAGTCGATCGATCTACCGATCGTAGGTTGCTGACTTCCTGTTGCTTTCGTGGTGTGAGTGTGACACTGCCGGGTGACTCCGCGCCCGGGCTTACATATATAGGCCGAGCGGACGAGCGGGGGCACGATGACGTCAGGCGTGGAGCGAGAGCGATCGAGCGGGCGGCCGGGGCGGCAAAAGGCGGTGCGTTTAATTCGTGCCCGGCCGCCTCTTGGCACGCCTCACTCCCGGTCCCGGGCTAGGCGCCATGCGTTCGTTACGCTGCCACACTTTGCCAGCGGCGTTCGTTGGCCGTGCGCTCGAGCTGGGTCGATCGATTGGACCGGCGTTGGATGATTCCGTGCGTGTTAGTGGACGTGTAGGTCAGTCGTCGTCGGCGTGTTGTTGGCTACTTACCGTTCGACGGCGACGACGGATCCGCATCGACCGGGGCCCCGGCCTGGCCGCGCTCCCCTTCCGCTTCCGTGGCTATTGATTGGGATGTGGCAGTCACGCTCGCGCGGCCTAGTTTCCAACCACTCTACGCTGCTCTTTATTGTGGCGCTGGCGGCGACGGCGTCCATGGGGTGGCTACTTATTTCGGCCTGATGCCCAGGATTGAGGATTCCAATAATCTGCCGGCATACTAGCTAGCTGTACGCTGATTAGCGTACGTAGCTCCGCTGGTACTGACCATCACCCAGGCGCTCACACTGTCTAGCATTGATACAATCCAAACACAGAGATGATCAGATGGACGTCCACTCTTTCGGTTCGGTTCAGTCGTCTCATCAGGAAACATGATTACTGTTGTGCTGTACACTGTACTAGCCGCAGTGCCTGCTGCACCGAGGATTATCATTAGCTACGACACGCATGTAATATATGTAAGCTTCAAAACTGCCTTTTGGAGCAACTACCTGGACAGGACTGTCACTCTCTAATCTAGACACTCCACCGAGTCCAGCACGTGGTGGAACGGACTCCACCTAATTTTGGGGTCTCGGCAGTCAGCACTGATCACATATGATCGTCGAGCCGTGCAATGGTCAATCCATCGATCTAGCGACAACCATGCATGATCACCCGTCCTTGCGCACAAGAACCTCATGTATCTTTGCTCATACTTCTTACCGGTCAATATATATAACGACTTCTTTAGATATCTATGTATTCACCTCAATCATCCATGTTTAAATTTTATATCAAACCACTCTAACACACATAGATTGATATTGATACACGGGCATCAAACAAGTCCTAACAGTTTCTAACCCATGGGAGTAAATAGCTGCTCGATAATTCCAAGTGATGGCTTAAGGAAAAAAAAACAATTACATATAGCTATGACATTTAATTAAGAAGATATATGATCGACCTTTTCTCTGATCTGTAGTATAAATGAAATTGACACAATCTTATGCTAGTTCATTTGGTTGAGCTTTTGGTTTGAGGATAAAGTTAAATGGAACGAGGTGTGAGACCATCCATATTTGTGAAGATGGAACAAGCCAGTTTTTTTTTTTTTTTTTTTTTGAACTAAACGAGGGGAGAGTTTCCCCACCTTTCCATTCAAAAGCACACGCCCAAGTTAAGTAGGACGTGGAAAAGAGTTTGAGGTACAATCGCGGAGGTGAGCGTACCAGCCCAATTGAGCCGTTCCCTAGCTCGGGAGGAAGGCGCTACTATAAAGTTACAAGGTCATCACAGACCCTCGAAAGAACCAATGATTACAGAAATTTTCATTACGGAATACATACCCATTTCGATCCGTCCCAGATACGCCATAAGATAGTCGGGAAGATGAAAGGCAGAGTCGCTTCTAGATTTGCTTTGGAGTCATCCGCTTCCCATGCTTCATCATCCGTCATCATCTTCCACATCGCCCATGCCTATTCTCCCACCACAGCGCATCACTTTGAACACAACCGAAGAAAAGCGTGTCGTTTGTTCTAAGGGTGCCTAGCGCATGGACAGGGCAAAATTCGCCGTCGACGATGTGTTTTGCATGGAGGTTCACCTTTGTCGAGCCGGTCTTTGAAAGCTTAGGTTAACACCTTGACCTTGTTTGGTAGCCTTGCTGCATGCCTACCAAACACGCCCACCGTGGGCAAGTTGTCAGTGTGGTCACTGAAGAGTCGAGGGCTGCGAGGCATCGTTAAGCGGAGTAGGTGTGCCCTGCCTCACCATGCGAAGGCAAAAACCAGAAGTCCTGGCCGTCGCCGATGTTCATCTCCTGCAACAAAGAGAGCAGGCTGCCTAGCTGATGGCTGCATAAACATTAGTGAGTCGAGGACGCAGACGCAAATCAAAAAACCACTGGAAGACCTTACCGCACCGAGATGTTAGGCATAGTGGTGTGTGTGAACAAAGCATGATGGGTGGAGAGAGGGGGGCGGCAGGAAGCCAATGGTCGAACCAAAAGGAGGTTATGGCGCCATTGTTGACTTTGACGATGGTGATGGAGCGAAGGTGTTAAGCTCGTCATTGACAATGCGCCAGAGGAAGCTAGACGGCGCCATTGATCGGGGTATCGAAGGAGGAGAGCGCTTGCGTAGAAGCCAATCTTTCCGTTGGTTTGTTCTCCATCGAATAATTTGTTGACGAATTTCATCGCCAAGCACCGGTTCGAAGCTCCAGGTCTTTTATTCCCATTCAAATCACGCGGCGTTTTTGGGAGCTTGGACCGTGTCCCAAGCGACAAGGCATTTGGAACCGTGGCAGCTATCTTCTCCGATATAGAAGAAGGCACGACGTCTCTTGTCGATGGCCTTGAGGATCATTCTTAGGCACTGTTGATTGCGGACATGTAGTAGTGAAGGGAGTGCGCCGAAAATGTATGCAGAGGGTGAGAGGCGCCGTGGTGTTAAGAAGAAGAGGCTCGCCAAACTGATAAGTATTTGTCGCAAGAGGTGATAAAGGGAAGAACGCGTAAAAGCAGAGACTTTGTGAGGGGTAAGAGGTAGTCCAAGGTAGGTCCGAGGGAAGGTGGAGGTGGTGGTGCCAAAAGAGGTGGCAAGAGGCGGTGGCTTCGTCGTGGGGACGGCAATTGGTAAGAAGGTAGTTTTGTGGTAGTTGATGGCCAAGCCGGTAGCTTTCTCGAGCAACCGCAGGATGCGTTTGGTCGCAGAGATGGCGTTGGGGGTGCAACAAGATGAAAACAAAGGTGTCATCAGTTTGGAGGACGGGCACGGCTCATCGGGGAGGATGGGATGTCGAATATCCGCGGCAAGGTGATGGTTTTGGAGCATGCGCGGCGAAGAACATCGGCAACAATGATGAAAAGATACGGTGATAGGGGGTCCCCTCGCCGAGTCCACGGCGGCGATTAATCCGATTGCGGGAACAACATTAAGGAGGACGATGAGTTTTTCCAGTCGAAAGCGGGACGTTGATCCGTGCACACCATCTATCGAGAAGCCACGGCATTTCATGATCTTGGTCAAGCTGTCCCAGGCGACACAATCGAAGGCTTTGTGGAAATCTAGCTTCATGAGAACGGTAGGGCACCCTCTCCGGTAGCAGCAATTCAGTAGATCTGCTGCATAGACGAAGCTGTCCGCGATGCAGTTTTTTTTGTTTGGGTGATGGATCATGGATGCAGGGGTGTGGATGGGACGAGAATTCATTTATTTTTATTAGTCTTGTTCTAATCAACACTAATTAACAACAAATAAACTAATGATCCATAATCAACACTAATATTGACGCTAATCTTTCATAGTAATTACTACTAACTATAAATTGGACTAATTATCACTAATCAATAACTAATGATTAAGGTTAGCAAAGGTATGGCCTTGTCCAATCATTTTTTTGCTGTATATGCTCATTCAGTATCTAGCAAAATATTCTCTAGACATGATTCATCCCGTCTACACTGCCCATGAACCAACAAACAACTTCAAAAGCTAGACCGTGATCATCTCCCATCCAACTTCATCCAATTAACCGAACACAACCAACCAAAACTGGGGTTCACATATAAGGGCAGTACAGTTCCATCGACAGGGCAAAATCAAGAGAGAAGTAACACAGTTCTGCCGCCATCAGCAGGGACACATTTGTCAACAAAACTTACTGTGCAGCTTAGGTTAGCTCATGTGGCTTGTGGAATCCATGCTGCATGCCTACTCCGTGTTGCCTCTACCATGGGCAAGTTGGCAGTTGGTGCTGTACTGCGAGCTTCCCTGTCCAACGAAATCGTTGCATACAGAGTATAGGAGTACCTGCATGCATCTACCATGCGAAGGTCAAAAACCACCGGACCTGAATGCAGAACAGGTTGATTGCTGCTCCTGCAAGCAGACGTAGAGATTAATGGCGGCGTACTCACTACTGCATAAACTTTACTGGTGGCGGACGATTTGGATTTCCCGCGGCGGGCAAAGCCGTCCGCCGCGGCCTAGAGGCCACGGTAAATCGTGGCTTAACCGCGACGGGCGGTGTAACGTGCCCGCTGCGGTAAATATACTTTTACCACGGCGGACACGTTACACCGCCCGCCGCGGTAAATCGGTTAACCGCGGCGGGCACCTTTTGTGGCCCGCCGTGGTTATGTTGATTAGCCGTGGCGGGCTTTATTATTTGCCCGTCTCGGTAAATTATTTTCTGAATTAAAAAATACAGCAGGCATATAAATTCAAATAAAATATAATAGGCATATAAATTCAAATTCAAATTCAAATTCAAATCACATCCAGATTTCACAGATTAAACGTAAAAAGTATGCAGACATTACACATGAGATAATATACATATATATATATACATTCACTTAGTCGTTCTTGTCATCGTTAATTCATTACATTTACATATTAAAGTCGTTATACATGCGCTAAGGTGTAATCCTGCGGACGCATCATCGTGGGCCATTTCCTCAGCCTCTCGTACTCCGGTAACATCGCTAGCGGGTTGTTCTCATGGAAGAACGTGCCCCCTTCAAGCACGCATTTGTCTAAGACA